GGGGGGGGGCTGGCGGCTTCAAACGAAAGGGAAGGGTGGAAGAAGATGAGGAASGAGAACAAGATGGGCTAGGGTTGTTTTGTTTTAAATTCCTCTTTTTCTTTTGTTTTGCAACATAAACTCACTTGGGCTAGTTTCTTTTGTTTAAGGCCCAATTACCCAATCACTCCTTGTTAACAAAACCAATAATATAATTTCGTAGTTGGTCCAATGGCCCAGAGCAAGTGTCACATAGCGGAATTCGTACTAAACCATAACTTAATAAATACTACACGCTACTAACTCACCACTAACTCTGTAACAATACACACTAGCCGAGATGCCACACTCAAATTAATTAAAGATCACTGATGAGTCAAATAAAATAAAATAATAAATAATAAATAAAATGAAATAAATAAATCAATCAATAAACGAAATCTATTTTGTTATAAAATTTTCCGGAACTCGGGGCAAGCTAACCTGAGTAACGCGGGGCGTTACAGCTAACTTGAAGTAATTCGGGCTAGGTTTTACCATAATAAGACCAAATCCCAAATCCAAAACCATTATTTGTGACCATTTCCCATTTTACAAGAATCACTCATTTCAACGTTCACTATTCATTAAAACTTTAGAGTTTGGAAATTATTTAGTAGTCCTTGAGGATCGATACTTGGATACTCCATCCATTTTATATTACTCTGACAGGTGTGCCCTTGCATCTATAGAATTGTTACCACACTTAGTGCGTGCGTTCAGCATAACCTCAGTCATTACTCAAAGGATTGTGTTCAATTAGTAACCTAAAGAGTCTACAATATATGGATAAGGTTGGGTGCCTTATCTTTGTAACACTATTGATACGGTCCACTCTACAAAAGTTACAAATGATAAGCTCACGAGTTTTAGGACAAGGAGAGCAACATGCCCATAATCCTAATGAGATCATCGAGGATGGATGACAAGGTCTTGGTGGTGATGTGGGAGCATGTCATGCTAGTAGTTCGATGTCTCAAGTGGTTGACCACTTATCCACCACAAGGATGGGAACACATCACGCCAT